ACGATTTCATGTGCTTCAGATGGGAACTAAATGGCAATCAAAAGAGACGATACCACATATTTACTTCATGCTCCAAGTGAGAACTAAATGGCGAACGAAAAGGACGATATCACAGATGGCGTATTTACTTGTCCACCATATCTTGCATGACGTTGTTAAAGAAGTCCTCCTGACTTGCGTTCAGGAACACACTATTTGCACCGAAGGACAAAAACTTCTGGTTCAAAGACATCAATCGAGATCGAGGAGGGTTCTTCGAGCAAAGAAGTTTGCCAGTGGCCGCGCCGCATTCTATGCCCACCGTCTGCAACAGCAACACAGGAACGACTGCATGCAGGGACATTCCCAATAAACATTCCCAATTTCCATCCTTTGGAAACGTTTACCGGAGCAAGTTTACAAAAGGCAACTTTGCAGCCAGAGCAATCCAGAACAATCAAAATATTGCCCCTTCCACACATTGCCTCCGGATGTAACGCTATACACAGCATAATCATAAACAAGAGCGCAACTGCCGCATTGTCACCCGACGGTGTCCATGCACACACAACGACCTCGCAGAATTTTGCGTCATGAAAGGCAATGCCCAAGAAGAGAATTATGTGAAATTAAGCAGGACAATGCACCGAAACTTCTACGACTTCTTATATTCTAGAATTCACAACATTTTTTTCAATAATCTTTCAAATCCCTTTCCTTTAAAAAAGCACTCGGAATGATGGTTCTTTTCTCGTAAATATTTGTTATTTACCATAAAGTTAAGGCACGGGGCCATAGATTATCTTACGTTGGCTTCCGTGTCCACCTTGATGCATTCGTGATCAAAGGATGATGTTGGCAAGAATCTGACAAAAGTAGCGACAGGCCTTGCGCCGACAGGGTCAGGTTTGTAGGGCTCGCATTTGCCCAGCGTTCGTCTCCGCTGCTGGTCCGAAGGTTGTGGAAAGCTCGAGCTCGGAGAGCTGAAGCGAGGGGCGTTCTCCTGCATGGTGTCGTTTTCGTTTGTCGACTGCGCTACCATCTTCATAGACTGAGATTCTTCACTGCCGACGGTTCTGTTTCAAAGGAGTTGAAATCTCAAGCGCATGTACTACGCTAATTTCAGAAGTTTAAAGCACATAGCCAGTTTGAATGAAGAGACTAGAATATGCACGTTTCCACGCTCTCCAAGGCGAACAAGCAAAGCGACAGGACAATCTTTCCGTGATATGTCAGCTATTATTTAACTATAGTGATGGGTTTACGTTAGCACAATATTCATTTGTTCATTCGAAAGCTGTGGCGCCAAGACACATCACTAACGCCCACTGGAAAACAACCCGCCAGCATAATGAAATTAGAATCGATTGTGCTCAAAGCAACACTTCCTTGATCATAACCAAACCAATGCAACTCAATACTGAATCGATCTGTTCTCAGCACGGCTTTGTGAAGGGACTGAAATGCTTGTAAGGCATGCAAGTGCCAATCACGAAATGCTGTTACCGTTGCCATGGCAACTATCATGTCTGATAAGAATCTGAAAATTGGAGCCATTTTCTAGCCGTTTTATAAACGTTACGTCTAACTTATGCTGTTCTTTTTTGCCTGCGAAGGTACTTAATTGCTGTACCTATCGCGCATGTACCTCATTACCCAAACATTTGTGTTGAAATTTCGTCACATCTTTGTCTACAATGTTTCGGCATGATAAGGAGAATCCTTTCCCGTTGTTCTTTTTTCAATACTTCGCGTCAAGACAGGAGCGTTCTTCCAGCCTACGACGCACATGCCGAAAAGTATGCAGCTCACCTACGCCGTCGACGCCTACCGCCATCTCTCTGCGTCAGGTCGACCGGCCGTGCGGCCCCGAGGCCTTCATCCGTGAGGACGGCGTCGATTGGGCCGTAATCGCCTCGGGGCAGGCGGTCGCTGCGGCCCGCTGATAAGGCGCCAATCCGGCCGGTTGCCGCGAGGAGTCGACCAACGCTGGAGCGAGAGACTGGAAAGTGGAGGAAGACGGAGCAGGAAATGGAGAGAGAAGGAGAGGAGACAGCCGCTGCTCAGGTCAAGTGGTCCCACACCCAGAAACGGTTGGTGTTATTTGAGATAGTTCTGGCCGCTAAACTAACCAGAACCCTGGAGGGATGTGCAGTGTTACCGGGACGGTTTGCACCGCCAAGGAGTTAAGATGTCCTACGAAATGATAGAGTTGTCTCACAGAAAAGTACGCGCGTTGGCGACAGCTAGGGAGGATTGTGACCACATGATGCATGACCACTGAATTTAATGAATCGTGACGAAGCTCCAGAAACAACCAGGGTGAGGGGCACAACGATTGTCAAGTAGCCTCTTAACTCGCTGGCGGTTAGGAAGCTTCGACGGGTCGGGTTGAAGGGTCGTTTTCCGGGTCGACTCGAAGGAGCGTCTGCGGGCTGCACTCCTGATACCGCACATGCGTGCTTGGGACGACACTGGAGTCCGCGAATGCCAGGGACTTCGGGGACGACCAAGGGGACCGGGAGGGAAAACCGGCCAAGGTTGCGCATAAACAACAAAGTCAATGCTAGTTACGAAACTTTAGCTTTCAGAGCTACTGCGAACAAAATAAATGGTCGGAATAAATGTGTGACGCATTGCATTTCTAACCAATCTCGTAAAGGCTTTGCGGACCCGATGTTCCAACAGAGGTGATTCCCTTAGGCTCAATGTCAGGGACATGTCAGGCTTTCCAGGGAAAAACATCGTCTACACGGCGAATATCAAACATCGTCTACAAAAGGGAAACATGTGGAATTTAATTCAGATTATAAGTGAAACGAAAACCAGCAGATCTAACATTGGGAGCAAAGATTATACGATGGCTCACAAGTCGCAACCAAAATAATTTGGTTCATTCGCGGACAACAAACCTTATCTGTCAATAACGATACCATACATGTAGAGTTTTGCAGTGACGCTTGAATACCACTCATCATTAAGCCTAAATATGAACAGTTTTTTATTCGATTATTTGTCGGTTAACAGATTTATATGCAAAACGAACTGCTAAATATTCAATAACAAGCTGTTGAAATATTATTTCTAATCATCTTCAAGCTTGCTTTAGTCGATAGCTACAATTCACGCACGGTAGATGTACCAACCACCATTCGTTCCGCGAATTTCACCAATTTATTCGACTAATTCACAGTTTATTGCCTTCATCCTGAAACATCGCAATTCAATAACGTCTGAACTTTCTCTCTGTGGCATCAGAGTGGGTCCACCACGCTATGAGCCGCCGCCTAAGCCGATTAGGGCTCAACTCGGCCACGTGCGGCACCAATAACCGACCTCAGCGACGCTGAAACGGCGCCCGGCCGGCCGCCGTCGGCAGCGCCAGCGATTTTACGCCCCATGGCCGCGCCCCAGCCCGGCACGTGACGGCCGCGGGGGCCGCGCCAGCTCTGCAGGGGGCTGGTGGGGCCTCAGCTGACGGCCGATGGGGGAAGCACCAGCACCCGGCCCGACGAGGTCCAGTGTGAGAACAATTTGAATCAACGTGTTGAACTAATGGGTACAATAGCTCCAGGCTAAGGCAGGCTTTATGCATTCTGACTTGAAGTGGGCATGATATCAGCTTTGTGACGACTACCCCGAAAACAAGTTAAATCAACATGTTGAATTTAAGGCAGCAATAGCTCCAGGTTAAGACAGGCTTTATGTGTTCTGACTTGTAGTGGGCAAGATATAAGATTCGTGATGACTACCCCGTTTGACAACTAATCCGCAGTCCCGTATTAAACAACGAAGACATGTTTTTTGAAGTCGGTTTCACATGATTCAGGACACGTTACAGCGGCCTGTTGATTTAATCAAACCTTGTGCCTGAGATGAATAGCTTCCAAAACCTCAAAAGCAAAGACGAATCCTTAAACGCTTGCATGTGACACGTGGCACGTGCAACACTAAACTTGTGCCATACGCCAGTGATTACATTTGTCGGCCAAACTTGATGGTTTTGTGCCGGGACAAATCGTGACCCCCTGGAATATCTCTTTTTGAATTGGCATTTTCCAATTTCTTGCGCTTCGCATTTTCACCCAACCATGGTAAACCCATAGGCCTCAAAGTGTGCGGTGTTACACGTGCCAGACGCACACCGCTGCCAATACAGGAAGTTCAGTTGCCATTACACATCCAACATACGTACCTGGCTTCCGTGAAAATTTTTGATTCATGCAACACCGTTCGATCTGCACAGTGACATGAGTCGATAGCCGAGCAAAGCCAGACGCATGTATATAAATGGTGTTTTATATTTGCGCAAAAAAAGACCATTCATTTGGTTTGGACTCCGTCTATGTCTGGACTCTATTAGCCTAAGATGACTGAGCCTTTTTGTGTTCAGAACGTTGATATGTTGCAGCTTGGACTATTGTTCCTTTAGAAATGCTTTCCCCTCAACCATTTGTCTTTTTACCTTTCTCATTTGTGTCCTTCTACATTCCATCTCTTTTCGTCCGCTCATTTTGTATTCACCTTTCTCTTTGGTCGCTTTGAATTTGTGTAAGTCAGTTGTCGTTCGAGGTATGTTTTCATATCTCGCAATGCCTTGGGTTACCTGCCAAGATATTTCCCTAATTTGCTTATGCACATTGACCGATTTGTTCCATCCGAAGTTACCTCAGGTCTGCTCTGTAGAGTATATTCGATCAATAGCTATTACTGGTATCGATGATACTTCCACACATTTGCTAATTTGAGCCTCCCCAAACGCCTGAATTGCGTCATAAACGCGAGGAGCGTTGTGAACCGTCATAACGCCCTACTGTGTGCCCTAGTTGCCCTGAGAACTTTCCAGCCGTGATTTCGGGGCTCTGAAGCGGTGCCATTGATCTGCAGACGAGCGCGTCGTCGGCGGTGGTGTCGCTCCGGCCGATGCCGACGCGCACGGCTCCGCCCACCGCAGCCAGAAGAGACGCCATTGGTCTGGCTGCTCGGCGAGATCAGCCGGCAGGGCCAGGCTCAATGTCAACTTCAGTTTGACTTGTCTACGTCCGGCCGCTGCACACATTCAACTGACTCAAGTGAGACCAAAGACATTCAACTGACTCAAAGGTGAGGCCGAAAGCATCCAGATGACTCCCAGGTGAGGCCGCAGGCATTCAACTGACTCTCAGGTGAGGCCGCAGGCTGAGTCAGCTGACTCCCGGGTGAGGCCGAAGGCAAACATCTACATCATTTGTGGCAATGTCCCGCTTTGCCGCATCAATCAGCGTAAAAACAGCGAGCGGCTGATGCATGGTACGACAGACTTCCGTCAAATTTGAGCCATCATGATATATTCATGCATGCAAACAATCGAATTTCCAAGCAGGTTCTGACCACGCTCTTTTATGAAAGGTTCTATGCGCCTTGGTGCGCTGCATGTAACGTTGCATCCTACAATGGTTAAGTGTGGTGGAAGCCATGCTTCTCTTGTCGCGACTCTCGGGTCCCTTAAAGCGTGTGTCCTCACCACCTCACCCGGCTAGCTGGACGCGTGGGCCGCTCGTCTCTGCAGCACCACCTCCCAGCCAGGCCATTAAAGCGGCCCGGCCCGGGGAACGGACTGGCCAACACACTGCGTCCAGGCCTGGTCTGTCGCAGATCACAGTCACGCCGGGTTCGCTGTCGCAGATCACAGTCATGCCGGGTTCGCTGTCGCAGATCACAGTCACGCCGGGTTCGCTGTCGCAGATCACAGTCACGCCGGGTTCGCTGTCGCAGATCACAGTCATGCCGGGTTCGCTGTCGCAGATCACAGTCACGCCGGGTTCGCTGTCGCAGATCACAGTCACGCCGGGTTCGCTGTCGCAGATCACAGTCACGCCGGGTTCGCTGGGCTGACCGCTGCAGCACAGACCAGGCTGACCACTGCCACTGGTGGAGCCAGGATTTCGTCAGGGGGGGGGGGGGGGGCTGCATGCAACATTGTGGGCCCCCTAAAACTTGGGCTCCCTAAAAAAAGTCATGACATTCCGGTCCTACAATTTTAAGATCCTTATATCCGCTATGTTTTATACGGAACTAATCTTGCTGTCCGTACCTCTAGAAAACTAGGTGTGCTACGGAAGGACATACATGGAGCTTGTTCATTTTCTCCAGATCGTGGTGATTTCCGTCATTTTGAGGTGAAGTATTTCAGAGAAAACAGGAAAAATAAACTAAATTTGCCTGCTGAATACCATCAAAATCAAACACGAACTTGATTCCTAGCTTGTTGACGGCTGGACGGCTGGGCGATGTGATCAGCCGATGACTGATGACTGTTAAAGAGCTTTTCCTTTGTTGTAAAGAAGTACAAAATATCCTAGCACTCAAAATGTATCAAGAACGTAATGCGCAAGCATGGTATGCGTCACAAGTTGAATAACTAAAGAAAAGACACATGACGTTGGCGGGGCATAAAATTATGTCCGACAATGGTGCGTACAGTTGTATCGAGGCGTACCGTACTGCCGCTGCGAGGGTGAGGCGTCAGGGGAAATTGTCATCCTGTAGTCTTGGACTAGTGTACATGGAGTAGTTTAGTCAGGTTCGTGCACACGGGCGGGCGAAACGCCCCTACGCTCGCAAACACACCTGGAGCTTTCAGCACCAGTGTAAGATCCCTCTGACTTCCTCTGAAGTCGCAGAGGTCACAACTAGTGTGGAGGAGCTGAGGGCAATCAAGAGTGTCCAGTCGACGACGTAGGCGCTCCGATAAGCTGGGGAAACCCAAGACCAATGGGAACTGCTGCTGAGCGTTCGAGGGTAGCGCAGGCCGACAAAGAGGCTTCTGTCAACAAATATAGGGCCCTCAGAGCAAGCGAGAAGAACCCAAGACCATGTGGTGGGCCCTTGAACGATCGGGAGTGCCCCGTAGGCTGACATATAGGACTCTGGCCAGAGCACAGGCCCTCTGGGCAAAGGGAAATTACCAGAGATCAGTGTGCGCGAATGAATACACCTGTGCGATCAAGAGTGCCCGGACAGGTAAGCAGAAAGGGCCCCGATAGGAGTGAAGGGTCATCCGCGAAAGACATCAAAGGGAAAGTCCTAGATCAATGTAGAGGGCCCTGAGCATTGAGTGGTTCGGTGCCTTACCGTATATGAGCTCCAGCAACAACACAATGCCCTTCGATCAAATGGGAAGAACCCGAGACTAATATGAAGGGCCCTTGAGCAGCTGAATGTACTACGGCATATGCGGCCCCGCAAAAGCGTATATAGCATTTCGGGCGAGTGGGAAGAAACCATAGAGGGCTCCTGATCAATCAAGAGTGCTCAGGCATGTTGCCAGATAGTGCCCCAGCAGCAGCGTAGCGCCCTACGAGAAAATGCGGAGAGATCAAGGTCAACGTGGAAGGCTCCTTAGCAATCGCATTGACTCGGCCAGTGATAAACAGGTCCCTCGGCAGCGTAGGGTCTCTGGACACCGTAACGAGGCTTAGTGTCTCTCCCAATCACCACTTCTTGAATCAGCGAAGACTTGTTCTTGTCTTCTCACGGGTTCTTCACTTTTGTTTCCGACTGTTCTTGGTGGTCTGAAGGCCCAAAGTCGCTCAATTTTGTTCTGTTTTGTGTCATAAAACTGCATCCGTTCAGTCGGCTGTACCTCTTCCAGCCCCCCCCCCCCCCTTGGGCCTCTTCGGGACACAAGGGGAGCATGGTCCCGCCCCTCTCTGGATCCGCCACCGGCGGAACAGCTCAACAGATCGGGTCTCCGTTGAGAGCATAGAGCCCTTCAGTCAATTAGGAAGAACCCAACATTAGACAATTAGAGACACCCAAGACCCAATGTGGGGAACCAGTGAACAATCGAATGTGCCCGAACAGGTTTATGGATGGTGCCCCGACAAGAGCGCAGGACTCTCCATTTATAAGAAACTACCGAGACCCACCGCGGAGGGTCCCCGAGCGGTCAAGCGTGTTCGAGCAGTTTAACAGATGGGCCCCTGACAAGAGCAGAGGCCCTCCAAGGGAGTTAAGAAGCACCCAAGACAAAATGTGAATAATCCCGGAACGATACAGTGCGCCCAAACAAATTAACAGATGGGCCCCCGACATGAGCGTAGGGCTCCTCATTCCATTGGAAAGTACCCGAGACCCAATATGGAGGGCCTCCGAACGATCACGTGTGCCCAAACAGGTTAAGAAATGGGGGCCCCAACAGTAGCGTAGGGTCCTGCTCAAGTGACAGGAAGCTGACCGAGCCCTAGGCCAGTGTGGAGGGCCCATGAATATATCGTGAGCGTGTTGGTAGGTTAATCGAAACTAACATAAAGGGCCACTGAACAACAGAGAATGCCCCTGCAGGATAGGGCCCCCGGCTACAGTGTATAAAGCCTTTGGGATGAATGGAGAAAACCCGTGGAAGACCCCTGATCGACAAGAATGTCCCGGTATGCTAGTAGAAAGGGCTCCGCCAACAGCGCAGGGTCCTCCGATAAAATGTAAAAAATCAAGGGCGACGTGGAAGACTTCTTGGCGATCGAATTTGTACCCTTCAAGTGGAAATATAGGGCTCCCAGGGACAGCGTAAGGGCTCTTGAGAGCGTAATGAGCCTTAAGATCTCTCAATCACTACTTTTACAATCAGCGAATGATAAGTTACGTCAGCTCGTGGGTCTTCACTTTCGCTTGCTACTGTCCTCGGTTGCCTGGAAGGCGATGGACGTCCAATCTTGTTGTCATGTGTTTAAAATTGCGTCTGTTTTGCCAGCTTTGGGCCCTTTGGGAACCTATGGGGCTCCTGCGGGGCCCAAGGGAGGCATGGCCCCGTGCCCCTCTCTGGATCCGCCACTGATTACTGCAGTGGGCTGCCCACTGACCAGCTGACCAGCGCCAAGCGCTGGACCATTGGTGAAAAGACGCTGGCTGCCCTTGGGAGGCATTACCGATATGGACCAGCTGCCGAGGCATTGCTGGTATGGACCAGCTGCCGAGGCATTGCCGATGTGCACCAGCTGCCGAGACATTGCCGGCATGCACCAGCCGCCGAGGCATTGCCGATATGTACCAGCTGCCGAGGCATTGCCGGTATGTACCAGCTGCCGGGGCATTGCCGGTATGTACCAGTCAGGTTTGAGCGCCGTTTTTCACGATGCTAATGAAGATATTGCTGGCATCTGGTGATCAGGGAAGCTTTTTTAACTTTTTAAACAACATAAATATTGTCAAGGGCAGTGACATGCACAGCCCAACAGCCGTGATGTAGAAAGGAAACTGGCGAATACCCCAGGGGATATGTATGCTACATAGCTGAAACAACTGTTCAAGGCACCAGGGCAAAACAACATCAAGAGCTCTCTGATACGCTAAGTACCGTACCTTTCAGCGTTTGTGAGGTCTGCTTCTTTGTTCACAGTTCGCAGGTTTATCAGTACGGCCGGGACTCGGTCGTAAAGATCGCAAATCCTGGAAGCTCTTCCAATCGCAAATTATGGTCATCCCCCCCCCCCCTCCCTCCGGCGCAAATTCTGGTTGCGCTGCCGCTCCTAGATCCCACTATGTCCCGTAACTAATGCTTCTCTGGAAGCTCGCGAATGGCAAAAGGGGGGCAACAGCAAGAGAGGCATCGTTTACGGTCCATGCGTCCGTGACTTCAGACACATGTGCAGACACCTGAAAAATTCTCTGTTTGGCGCGGCGAGTTTGAAAAGTTGCTCAGTGGGTACCTGGCGGTATTGACATTTCAATGAATTTCCGTAAAATTGCGTGAAGTGAACAATATTCCTTTTCAAAGCACCGCAACTTATTCACGGCCGTTCCGTTCAACTCAAGTTAATTGCAAAGAACTCGAGTCATGATTGAGTGTAACGGCTGTACATTTTTCAAGCAAGTATCACTTCTGAGGTCTAACTGTGTAACTGTGTAACACCTAACTGTGTATAACAGCTTTACATCATTCAAGCAAGCATCACTTCTGAGGCCAAGGAATTCATGGATTTAAAGAACTGTTTACGCCACGCGTTGCAGAAAAAAATTTAAGCGGATGATTAGTGGAGGGCAGCAATCGATTGGGTCACAAGTCTCTAAAATAACAGTATTTATTCCTAGCTGGTATTGTAGCAGAATGCAAAACTTAAGTCAGCATGACAGCATTTTTCTAGCTGGTATTGTGGTGAAATGCAGAACTTCAGTCACCATCTTCACACGACCACCGCGGAATAAAATCCTCTTCCCTCCATCATTTTTAGTCTACAGATAGCATATTCGAGGGTAGCTTCCAGGTCGTCGGTTATCGTGTAGCGTGGGGGAGGGGGGAGGGGGCGATGACTGAAATGGCCTCTTTGGACTCATGAGCCGCTGGCGGCACTGCGAACCCCCCTGAGCATACGGTTTTTTACTGGATTTTAGCCGGTTGGAGACCCCCGAAGCTACAATAACCAGGGGCTCATAGAGGTCCCATACGGCTTTTTCGGGGACGCCCCGGCATTTGGTGTCTCCATGGGGGATTCCTGTGGGGGTCTTGAGGGTCCCCACAGGCCATCCATGAAGGTTTCTGAGGGGCTGACTGTCCACTCTCCCCGTCTCTTGGCTACGCCTGTGGAAGTAAACAAATTGAAGCTAAGCATTCTATATTCTTCCATACCTCGCTAACAGTAGATTCTCAAATCAAGTTTATGCTTCATGAGCAGTTGATATATTCCAGTTCAGTGACGTACATTGTAGTTTAGGAGCATTGAGCGTAAATCCACAATAATGCCACTAAAAGGATGAGTGTGAAAAATGAGATCCAGTACATGATGATATTCTGCACAGAAATAGGTTTACAGGCGATTTAAGCATCACGTGTTTAAAGTTTTCACTACTTGCATTTATAGACAAAATATTGCGGACAAATGTACAGCTGCATTGCTGGTTAAGACCTAAATGTCATTGAAATTCAGCCTTGGCATTCGCTTCGCCTTGTTTAACGAAGCAAGCTGTTTGCCTCATTTTTTAAAAAATTGTACATCATGTGTATCATGTGCGAGTAAACGCGTACGACTAAAGATAAAGAAATTAGGACGAAAGATTTTTGTGGCCGATTCAGCGTTTGGATCACTTCCATGAATGATTCCAGACAGTTCTTGATTCAAGTACATTGGCATGGCTACTTCTGATTGATTGTGAATCGAACAGAGTGGCGCCTGAATCATGATTCGAATCAATGTGATGTAAATCGGAATGAACAAGCGCTTGCGGGCCTGCTTCACTAAGCGGCGGAGCTTCTATGTATGGTCTGTGCAAACGTCATTTCGGGATGCATCAACATCATTTACAGGATTCCCTGCCCGACTGCCGGGATGTCTGGTGGGAACTGGGTGTGATGTGCTGCCTGTCAGCTGTGACGTTGCTGGGTTATGGGAAGCAAACTGCATCTTGAAGCCAATTTTCGTGCAGCATCATGGGTCGAATCGCTTGCAGTCTTGACAGAAATTGGTGGATGACAGCCCACATCTCCCTCGCCCTCTTTATGCGCGTTGGTGTGCTGGGAGGTAGCTGTTCTGAAAGCCTGAAAAACATCATTTTATATGTTTCAATAAGCGATCGTAAACCCATGGAATAGTATTAATTCGAAAGTGAGATAAACGTTACAGGAGCGGTTGCTGATTTCGTGTCACGCAGTCATGCATCCAAGTTGATTAGGCGTTTAATTATCCGGAAAAACCATTTGTGGAATTTTTTGCATTGCCCCCGTGGTCGGCTTACTGAGCCGAATCAGCGATTATCTAGGTTTCAAATATTACTCTGCAGATCTCCACCGCGGTCGGAGTGTTATTACGTATTTTAACACTTCAAGAAAACCCACGCACTGCTGCTGTCGCTGCTCTGCCTGCACAGCTGCTGCCGCCGCGCTGCCTACACGTCTGCTGTCGCTGCGCTGCCTACACTGCTGTTGTCGATGCGCTGTCTACACTGCTGCTGTCGATTCGTTGCCTACACTGTGCTGCCGCTGCCCTGCGCACTGTTGCTGTCGCTGCGCTGCCTGCACGTCTGCTGTCGCTGCGCTGCCTACACGTCTGCTGTCGCTGCACTGCCTACACTGCTGCTGTCGCTGTACTGCCTACACTGCTGCTGTCGATGCGCTGCCTACACTGCTGCTTTCGTTAATCGTGTTTCGCCGTTTGACTTGTCAGACATTTGCAGACTGGCCTACCATGAGAGGACTGGCCTGACAAAAACATGAGATAGGTAAAGGATGTTGTTTGGCATAAAGTGGACATGATAGGAGAGCGAGGGGTAAGTTGTGTGATGCCTGTGGAGTACCAAGGTAATTTATCTCAAATCTATGCGATGGGGGGGGGGGGGGGGCAATCTTGATTTACTCAGCTGACGCACAGAAGCTCCCCCTGCCTTTCAGCGTACTTCTGGTCACATACATCCATACGTTTTGAGACGAGAGCGACAAAGGTAGTTTTTGCGCATCGTTGAAAACTATAACGACCGGTGTAAGTGTGTTTGAACTCTTCGGTACAACGAGACCAATCTGAATACTCTGCCGAGTGGCGGGGAAGAACATAATGCAAAACAGGGTGTCGTATGTATTATGGAACAGCTGGCATCTGCTTGCCAGAGTGGTGCGAACTTTATTCCAAGATATCGGCCGGTGCATGTATCGGCTGTGTGTAAGGGGGGGGGGGGGGTGTTACATCAGTGGTGAAATATACTGACAGTCTGTCATTGACTGACTTCCCGTTAAGAATTGGCTCACGTGATGGCTACGACTTCTTGTCATCCAGAATGTAAGTCGACACTTACATTACCTATTTAGACCCATGATTTCCACATGGGCAACTAAAGCCGAGGTGGCAGTAGTCTTAAAACAAACACCGATAATAAAAAGGGCAAAACATTGTCAAAGTGCAATCACGACGAATCACGAAACAGCACAGACGAGAGCATCTAGTCTGCATGTCATACTGCATGCAGATTGCTTGCGATGCAACTTACTCTATAACAAAAAATCAAAACAGTAAACGCAACTCCTAACATGTGATACAAATTACCCCGAGGCGGGGCAAGTTCTGTCATTTGGGAGGAGGTCATTCAGAAATCATTTACAAAACAGCGAAGACGTACTCACCAATACTTTATCACTACATCTGAGGCAGAATGTTATAGCTGTTCGCAGATATAAAAATTATAGCCCTGGCCTCACTAGCTATGGCAGGGGATCGGGGCTCAGTGTAAAAACTGATACACCTCTCCCTTCTATCCCCACCATGAAGTTTGTGCCTAAATACTTAGTGTGCTGATGGTTGAGAGAACTATCCCACATTTTTTTTGACCAAGGTTTTCTGTTTAGTCATATGCATTGAGCGGTCTCAGAGGAGCATTGGGAAGCGGGTTTAATTTAGCACTGGAAGAGGCAAGACCCCCACCCTCTGAAAACATATCAAGTGGCACACCTTGATTTAGTGTAGACTCACCTGATTCAAGCCACAACATCGGAGCAAAGTTCATTCAGAACCAATTCAAAAGCTAGATAGTCGAATCCACTTCAGTTCATTGAAAATCCGAATAATTCTTGTATTAATTTGAATCTAAGCCGATTCAACCACAACCTTGCCACACACAGAATCCAAGCCGCCCTCCCCGACGTGAGCTAAGGGATGCTACAATGCTATTTTCGTTGCTATTTCGACCGCACCCAACGTTGAACGGCCCTTCTGTACTATATTTACTTCTTATCATATCTTTCAAAAGTCAGCACAAAGTCTTGCCGAGTGGTTTGTCGTTCACATACACGTCATGTTTTTAACGTGTCTTTGCGTCATAGTGCATCTTTTTAACCTAGGTTGCGGTTACCTAATACTCTACGTTCCTACTACTACTACATTCCTACGTAACCTACGTTCGTAACCTACTACTACGTTCACAACACTTTTGTGTAAGGCACTAAAAGAATAGGCCTCAATTCACAAATGATAGCCCAAAATATCGGCTACAGAAGGCTTTGATTATGGCGCACTGATTCATTTAATTGAAAGCGTTCCTGCCCTAAGGCCTTCAGAGACCAGTGCAGCGCGGATAGATTCTAGAGCAACCTTGAAGGTGTCCACCATAAGAAAGGTAAAAAAGGTGATCCTACTAAAGAGACAGAAGTATAGTAGCGTTTTTAGTTGGTCGGCTTGAACCCCGCCAACTTCAAGAAGAAGTTGTCCCAATCCGGGCAGAGGGTTTCTTCCTATATTTAAAGACAAATTAAGCCATTTCTCCGTATTCGATCCCGTCACCTTATTTTGTGATGCCACATCCATGAAAAGAATACCTCTATTTTAAAACAGGGACGTGGACGCATGTCATTCAGTGGTACAAATGCTAACCTGATGTGAATCAAATCCATTTTACCGATACTGTTGGTCGATTGTCTATTTTGTATGGAAATTCGGTGTTTTTCTGGATCCTCTGTTGTGTAACCGTACCACATCTTTTGACCATCTCGGCTATCTATTTATTACCCTTACCATTCAACGGATGTGCCCATGGGCCAAATCCTGAGCACGTCGTTTTAACAAATCCACGACGCTCATCAGCGCATCCAGGCAGTTTTGCCGGTGCTTGGACGATGACACCAGCGTGACCGGTCGTTGTGCCGCAGGATGCTGATGGAGGAGGAGTCACCTCGGTCGGGTCCGCCGGCCGCCTCGGAGACCGAGAGCGAGCTGAGCCTCTCCGACTGCGGCTCCCCCTGTCACTCGCCCGTGCCCAGCCTGGAACCGCCACCGCTCGTGCACGCCGCGTACGCAGCGCCGCCGTCCGGCGTGCGGCGAGTCATCCGAAAACTGTTTACCAACTCGCGCGAGAGATGGCGCCAGCAGAACGTCAGTGGCGCTTTTGAGGAGTTGCGCCGCCTAGTGCCCGCCCACCCGCCGGACAAGAAGCTCTCGAAGAACGAGATCCTGCGTCTCTCCATCCGCTACATCCGGCTTCTGAGCTCGGTGCTGGAATGGCAGGACCGGCAGCTGGAGCTGCAGGACGAGCCGCCACTGGTCAAGCAGGAGGTCACCGAGCAAGACGCGGCGCTAGACTGTCAACGGTCGTGCTGAGAAACTGTCGCTGCTTGACAAACGACGGGGGAGGATAAGTGTGCAATGATCCGTCACTGGCCAGGCTGACGGCATCTTAATAAGACCTGGGGTCATCGAGAACAAAACGTATAGATCCGAGCTGGGGGCAAGTCACGTCTCAGTGGAAATCGATCCTGTGAAAACACGAAATCCCTTTCATGAGCATCCCACGCCCCGTCATCTCGCGGCCATTACCACCGATCTAGGAGCTGCGAGTCATGGACGGTCCAGATCAGAGGTGGTGATAGCCAGTCTGGCGGCGGACACTACTGCGGAAAGAGGGCTGGATGTGCGCGTTCGATAGACAGGGAGCGACAGGTCGTCAGCGTGGAAGAACAGCGATAAACGGCGAAATAACAGTGGTGAAGGTGGAATAGCAGTGGAATTCTTAAACCGGTACCAAACCCACACATCACACTGCACTGTCTCCGGGGAGGACACGATAGGCACGCCGACTGCCGGCGGTCATAAAAATTGTGACGTTACCGTGTTAGGCAAGCTGGACAGACAGCTGCGAGCGTCCAAGGGCAGACTGGTCACAACGCGCGGTAGACAGCGGAAACAGGATCAGCAGGATCGATGGTGGCCGCGTGCACGCGCGGCAGGTGGGCGGCCGGCGGGCGGCAGGGCGACACGGTGGCTGGCTCGCACCCTCCCCCCTGACGACACGTGCCAGCCGTCGATACGTGCAGCGCCCGGGGGAGGGGCCGCAGTCGATACGCCAGCTGGGCGGCCGTGCCGTCGCCGTGCTGCCGTGTGATCAGGCGAAGTAATGGCTGCATGTCTGCATGACGTGGAACAGGATGTCCGCACCGGTGTGGAGAGGCGGATGAGGTAGCTGCGATGGCCGTGAAGGGGGATGTCCATACCGGTACGGAGAGGGGAGTGAGTTAGCTGCGATGTCTCTGGGGCAGGATGTCTGCACCGGTGCGGAGAGGAGAGTGAGTTAGCTGCGGTGTCCGTGGAGCAGGATATCCACACCGGTGCGAAGAGGAGAGTGAGTTAGCTGCAATTTTCGTGTGTGCTTGTGGAACTGTTTCAAATGTCCGGTGACATTTACTTCTGAAATGCAAGTGAACTGTGTGTTACGATTCGCGCAGATTAAACTAGACTCCTTCCGCCACATTGCATTTTCATGGTCATCCTTTGGTGCAGTTAGAGTGACGTGAAGGCCTTGTCGGAGCAATACTGACCGTCCCGAAATATCTTGGACAACAAACACGGCGGAGAGACCCAGCCGCAGATTTTAATATCCAGAGTTCGAAGCACGTAAATGACCTGAGAAAGGAGGTTGAGAGATTGGTGGCGAGGCAGCACCTCACCGTAAAAGGCCTTCTGCAGACGCTCCTAGTCGCAGCTGAAGCGCTTAACTACGGGATATGCATTTATATCACCATCAGCTACCAGACCATTGGAACCGAATGCCCTACGACGACCGCCCTTGAAAGAGTTAACCCGCTTTTTGGTAACTAAGTGCATAACACATTTTTACGTACGCATTTGGATCAACATGAGGCTGTGAGGCCTGAACTGGGTAAAGGACACTTGGACTCCTACCAGTACAGCGGAAACAATCAAGACCGCTGCATGCCTTCAACACAATGAAATTCACAGTAATGTCAGGTATGTAATGTCTCGTTCAAGTTTGCAAAAAATTTAACATAAGTCATGGCCGTGCTTGACCAATCATTCTCCGACAACCATTGGAAGCAAATTCGGCTTTAAGTTTCAAAACATTGTGTAGAATGTGATTGGGCCAGATGGGCGCCAAACGAGGATAATAAGTCATCAGGACGGCCATTTTGCTGAAACGATTGGCAGCTTTGCACATAGATACAATAATGTAAAACTGACACTTTTTGTAGCATTTTGCCATTAAATGCCGGAATGCCGCCGACATTGACACCCAACTACATGGCACAGGAGCATAGACCCGATAATTTCTACGCACCCAGATGTGTCACAGTGCAGTCGCGCACAAGTGCAAGACTTGCGCTATTGTTTCGATGAAGGCATGTGTACGAAATATCAACTCAACTATATCTCCATTCTCCTGGCTTTTCCGGGGAAAAGGCTAATACGGCTGTCTTATCCAAGTTCTTCTAAGTTCTAAGCCATGCCCAGACTAATACCGTATAATTCACGATGAAGGCCATATTTAGTACTCATAGCGCTGTTGTATTCAGTGAGTATGATGGTGGTTCGACAGCAGCTGCCGCAGTGTTAAGCAGCTATTGCCGACAATACTGTTGTGCGGATAAAAATATTTTTGTACTGACAGAACCCGCAACTTTTTGTCGGGCATGTCTAGTTCAAAGGCGTGCATTAGGTTTGGACAACACTTAACATGACTAGGGTTTATGATGAAAATAGCCGACCATCGATATACCGGGAAGTACATGTAGAACGGCGGGGTGGGCAATCATTAGTTTATATTTTGAGACTACTCGTCATTTCACGGCAGCATTCATGACCACAAGCGCTCATGATTAATTCCAGGTACGCATCAATAGCATCCACATGGCAGGCTCGGCAACATATGTCCCACCTCCACATCAAGTTATGACATAGATTATAAGGTGTGCGAATAAGTGTAAACCCTAATAATAATCGCAGTAGACGTGTAAAAATCGAGAGGACACGATGTTGTTTTGCGCCTTGCGAGAAATTTGCCCGTGGTACGCCAAACCGGCTCTTCAAAAATATAACTTTGAGTTGTGCCGCACTCCCCGTTGCAAATTCATGCATACACCGCTGACGGCATCAATCAGTTGCAAGATGCATCCAGTTTTGAACTTGAACCTTGTCCAAATTTTACATATGGAGTAATGTTTATATCAACCATATGATCCATATATATATATATATATATATATATATATATATATATATATATATATATATAACCAAGATACATGGCGAGTGGCAAGGACGATAGTGACGTTGCGACACAGTGCCAATTATATAAAGCTTCTAAGCTGCCCAGTACGTAGCCTGGAATGCAAGTTAAGCAGGTCAAAGCAAGCCCCGTGGTTGCAACATAAACAGGTCTTGTCGCCGGTGCAGGAGCTCATGATACGTCCCTGAGAAAAAGAACTGCCAAGTGATTTCAAAGCCAGCCATGAATTAGGCAGCGCATCCACCTGCGTACGGAAAACATTGGGGTGATTGTTGCAAGCCTTGCCGCAACGCACTGACTCTGCCACTTTCCCTGCAGCCGCCGGACGGACCCAGTGGCGGGGCTTGCGGCGACGGGCTGGTGGCATGTGCAGTGGCGCAGCGCCTCCTCCCGGCATGGGTCCGGTCGCGCACGTCCGCGGTCAGAGCAGAGCGATGCCTTCCAGCCACCTTACTAGAGGCGGCGATCCTGCAGTCTCCGGCTATCGACTATATGTCTCTCGTCCCTGGCACCGGGGCACCGGAGGCTCAGGTCTGCGGTCGCACACCGGTCCCAGGCCCGGCTGCTGATCTCCCCCACACACTCCTTGGCCGGCCCGATTTTGCACGTGACCTTCCCAAACATTGCAAAACAGTCGCGTACGGTTGTCAATGACCATTACAAACTATATTTTGCGGCCATATCAGGAACGTGGGTGTTCATGTTTGCCTGGTTGTGTGCATGCCTGTCGATAGAGCTGTCGATATTCTTAGCGTCCTGATAAAGGGGGCAACGTTATGCCAGATATTGCTTCAAACATTACCCACACGACCAGACCTGTAGCTTTTGTCCGTCACAGCGGGAACAAAAGCACGTCAAGCCGAACGTTAAGTAAAACGATCGTCGACCGGAGCTCGGTGTCAGGCGGCCGGCCCCGGGCTCGCCGTCGTGTGGGCGGCCTCCCGATCCGGCAGCTTCCGGTCTGCCGTGATCGCCTCATCGCCACCCGGCTGTCGAGTCCGGGCCGCGGCGGCTTTCGCCCGGTCGCTGGTCTGTCAGCGAGGTCCGGGAGCCGGTGCGCATCGGCAGTGATGGCGCTATCGCCGCGCTATCGCCGCGCTATCGCCGAGGTCCGGATCCTATCGCCGTTTCTGGTCGGCGGTGACCGGTTCGTCGTCCTGCTGTCGTCAAGCTTGGTCTGAGAAGGCTGTCAGATTAGCTTAATCAGCCCATTGTGCCTGGTGCTTGTCTAGAAACTCGTGTCCCATCTGTATCATAGTTCAATGTAGACGACGTTCTAGTTTGAGAAGGCGGGCGATTTTTAGAATACATTCTTTCCATCCACTTGCAGGGACGGGTGGATGGTGGATGATTTCGAATGTAGAGTGCCAGGTAACTTGTTAATATAGGATGTTTATAATAGCATGCATTCTTAGAGACTACAATGCTATTTTAAACAAAAGTCGTAGGAACATTTCAGAAAGTGGGGGGGGGGGGCGAGCTGAGGGTATATTTCAGGAACTTTGTTGGGAAGCAAGCCCGTTGACCGGGGGGGGGGGGGGAGGTAGACGTGAAAGCTATTGCCCTCTCATAATTCACGTAACATATTTTGGAAAAAATAAGTGTCATGGTCGCTATGCTAGATACAAATCTACAGCTATGTCCCACTGCTGCACAATCTTGCCTTTTCGACTCATGCATGCAATTCGGCAAATCAGGCTATCCAGCATTTCAATATCGTTCGTCCATTTTAATATTGTTTTCCCTGTGAGGCAAAATTCCACAAGCGTCCAAGCATTTCGAGTCATTGGAAAGACATTTTCCTCTGCAGAGTAGATGCCAGAACGACACCCAGACACAGGCTGGTCAGAATTTTGAATGCAAATCGATAGGTCATAGTGTGCCAGAGTTTTCATGCGCCTATATTTCGACGGATGCTTTTCAAGTCGGAAGCTTCAAATACTAGCTGCCAAAAACAACTCGACAAAAAAACATAAAACTGGAGTTTCTCCAGTAAAAACGGAGCCACAGAATGAAGGCTCTGCTGTAATACATTCCTCATCTGGGCCCTTTTCCCATCCGTCGTGGGCGGCCACTGCCC